CGGGCGTGGCCTAGCCCGCGAGCAAGCTCTCCATTTGGAGTATATCGTGAAAAGTAGTCGTCGGCCCCTCGCGACTTCGCCGGTCGCTCGCCCGTTCTCGCGCGGTTCGCTTCACTCGCCCAAATAGGAGAGCTTGCTTGCAGGCTAGGCTTGGCCTCTCCTTATAGACCATCATAGGGAGTAACCCCCCCCCCGGGGGGGGGGGGGGGTTCTCCGAAGTTTCTGGCTTCACCTCCCCGGCCTGGTTGTGGTTTTCCCGCCTTCTCCCTTTTCTTTTTTCCTGTTTTTGACAGAACTATTGTCACCGGTTTTTTTTTGAGTTGTTGGGGGTTTTAGACTAGTGTTTTTTGNGGCTAGGCTTGGCCTCTCCTTATAGACCATCATAGGGGGTAACCCCCCCCCCCGGGGGGGGGGGGGGTTTCTCGACAGTTCTGAGTTCAACTTCCCGGCCTCGTTTGTGAATTGCCAGCTTCTACCTTCTGTCTTTTGCTGTTTTTGACAGAACTATGTTACGCCGGTTTTGTTTAGATAGTAGAGGCCTATAGCATCAGGTTTTTCATGGGAAACTGCAAACCGCAAACCGCAAAATGTCACGTGACCACGGCCTCGCGGTCACGTTTGCAGTTTACAGTTCACATTGGAACCACAGGAAGGGCTTCCAGGGGTAAGTGATTGACGGCAAGGTTTTTTGCCACAAAAAATTGTACAGCCTCGCGTTTAAAGGTATCAACTAGGTTTTTATATCCGTTTGCGATGTGTTTGTTGCATTTTTGATCTCGAATCAATGAATTGTTGCTGGCTTTTGGGCGATTAAAGCGATGCACTTCCGACTTGATGAAAACAACATGGCGGCCCTAAACAATGAACGCCTAGTTCAAATCAATTTTATATTATTCCTTTCTGTCGTACTAACAAAGAAAAGTACTCTGTTCGAACCCAGAGTTAAATTTTTTTTCTATCTTGTTACTGAATTCATAACTTAACTCAGTCTCTGTTTAGTTCCTATTTTTAACGTATCACTCCGAGAATTTCATTGTATTTTGCTTATTTCTTTGAGAGAGCCCCGGCTGCATAAAGCCTTCTGGTTTCTTCTGGGCTCCCTTGCAACCTTACAATTCCTATATGTATTCTTCTTTTGTATTATATTTTGGGTAAATAAAAATGAGCTGAACTGAACGCCTTGCTAAAGTTTGAAATCTCGGCATCGCAAAACTGCAAACACGTAACTGCGGTTTGCGGTTTACCTGATGCTAAAGGTCTCTACCTTCAAGAGCTACACTTTAAATCCAGGTTATATAAAGGTGATGTACTATGCGTGATGTGATCTGATTATATGTTTGTGATCGATTATTTGTGAATGGAGATCAGCTAAGTGCCCATCCACTATAAACAGGGGCTTACATTTTACATTTTTATTAAAATTTTTGTTTCTTTCTATATTCCTCACTTCATTAGTTTCCTGTGATTAATTCATTTATTTAATCACAGTATTTTCTCCTTAAAACTTGGGACTTACTTTAACGTGGACCAGAGAGATAATGGGTAATGGGGTTGAGGCCTTGTTTCCATTTGCAATTTTCCGGTTAACCCTCCTGTTCGTTGTCCGTTCCCCGTTTTAATTACGTCCTTGATAACTGCATGCATCAATTTTTAACTTTTAATTATTTTTTCCGAAACAAGATAAGATGCGGTCGTTTATTTATCTTTTTAGGAACTGCCGGCGACTCATTCTCGTATAATAATGGTATGGCGTTCTCCACCAAAGATCAGGACAATGATCTGAGCAGTAGTAAAGGCTATTGTGCCCAGCATTATAAGGGAGGTTGGTGGTTCAACGCCTGTCACAACGCCTTTCTAAACGGCTTCTATTATAAAGGCTCACACTCCAACTATTGGGGAGGTGTGATGTGGTATCAGTGGAAGGGCAGTAGTTACTCCGCTAAACGTGCTGAGATGAAAATCAAACCTGTTAACGTTTAAGAAAAGGTTGTAAAGTTTATTCTTATTACACTTTGAATGTGACATCGCTTTAATATGTTATGCAGTGCAAAAAGAGACAAATTTTGGATCAAAGGAAAGTTTACTTTTTCTCCATTTTGCCAACTACAGTGTACTTTCAAAACTATTTTTTCTTTTACAACTGTAAAAGTTCCTGTTTGTCTTTTTGTGTCGATTAGAGAAAACGTAGTAATGCTATGAATTCAAAAAAAAAAAGCAAAATGAAATATAATGCGAAACAACTTTAAACTCTTTAGGCTCAATCTCCACTTGGCCATATTTATCCATAACCTTGGAAGGAATACTCCAAAAATAGTATTTTAGTCTGATTTTAGTGAACTTACAGTTCCTTTCTAATAAACATAATTACATACATTTGTCACATTTTATCTCTTTCATGCACGGGAACATGTGAACTAATAATTAGCCTGCTCCCAACATTAATGGCTTCATAGCTTAGTTGGTCTACAGAGCATCGCACCAGTTTCGCGAGGTCACGGGTTCAAATCCCGTTGAAGTACTGAATTTTTTTTTTTTTTTTTTTTAGGCTTCTCTTACGCAATTGC